AGCTTTAGTTTGCTATAACTACGAAGGAGAGGTCTTGAAGGAAAAGCCGGGACCAACGTTGGATGTCGCCGCCAAGCTGCAGAGTCACCGAAGTCGGATTGTGCCGCCAGCTCACAATGTCCTGCCCTTCTCTTCGTTCTCAGTGTCGCCGGAGGAAGAAGATAGCCGCCGGAGTTCCGTACACAAGTGCTGGAAGAGTGGGTCAGACTGTTTCTTCGCCGTAAAAAATAAAAAAACATTCATACTTTACATACAGGGGAAGGAGGGATGGCGTGGCTTTGACGCCGCCTGAATACCTCGCCATGCTGCGTCGTCTCTGGATGTCTCGCCGTCGCCACAAGGAGTAGCCGCCGACCATCTTTGACGCCGCCTGAACCATCCCTGCGTCGCAGGTACTGCTAGACGATCGACAAGGAAGGCAAGTACATAGACTATCCTGCTTCTTTATTCTACGGGCCGAGTGTTAAGCAAACTATTGTACTCCGTAATACGTAGGATAATAGTTTGTGCTGGGATTGCTATAGTAGTCTGGACCACCGTATGGTTAATAACAACACTAATAGTTAATACCCCCTAATACTTGATACTAATAATAGTAAAAGTAATAACAATACTAAAACTAATAATAATAATAATAATATTAATAATAATGATAACAATAACGTAGCTTGTAATAAAATGAAGTGAAGATGGTTATGAAAACAAAAATGATATCAATTCTCGACTATTATAGAAATCAGTTAATGTTGAACCGATATATTAATCATGATAGGGGAAATTTCTACACAAAGGGTAAAAGATTTTAACTATAAGTTGATAGGATATTGATTTTTGAATCTTAATAGAAGGTAAATTGAGGAAGGAGCAAGTTAGAAGAATTTCGCTAGAAGTAATCGGAGTTTGAGGTAAGTTTCTCTGCCAATCTAAAATTATTTCCTCGTATTATATGCTTATTATGCATTATGTGAATAAGTGTGAATTGTTGAATTTTGTGTATGAGAATTGTGAAGAGATATTATATATATTGTAGTTGAGAAATATAAATTAAGTACTTTTGGGGTATTAAATATTTTTAAATACCTTCAAGACTTTTTAGAGAAATTAAGAAGTATTTTTGAAGTATTGTTAAGCGAAGATAAAATTTACTTTTTATAAGAAGTGAGCATCTCGGGAGTAATCCGAGGTGTCGGTTTTCCACGTCCGGATAAATGTGGAGGGTGATTAGGTTTGCTACTACTAAGAAGTACAGTTTGAGTTTAAAATGATATTTGGATCGATGATCCCTTTTAAGAAGAAGTTATGGTAGTAGTAATCCCTAATCATTCAAACTATCTTATTCAGGGGTAGTTGGTAGACTGAGTCCCGACTACTCGTTACGACTTACTACTCGGAGGGCTTGGAATCCCTTTTAGGGGGTGTGCACACTTAAGGTAGTCGTTTCGTTTCCAACAGAGCAGTTGTGGTACCGGCACTTGTTCGGGGTGGCCGTCCGTAACCACGGTCCACCGGGCTCTACCGAAAGGTTGAGCACCGCCTTTCTAAATTACTAGGAAGTTAGAGAAGAAGTGATTTTTGAGGAAAGCAAAGGGAAGAGTTATTATGAAGTTTTATAGAGAAGTTGAGGATTTTTGTAAAGAAGTAGTCTTGATAAAAATCAAAGTGAAAAGAATTTCGATGGTGTGAGTATTTTTATATATTATTATATAAAAATCTATTTTTGTCAAACATGATTATTTTACGGGGTTGGGTAGTACTTACTTAGCTCTAAAGCTAATTTTTGTTTTCTTTTCCTTGTTTTGTTTCTGCACTTTACTTGTGCAGGTGAGGATGATGTTGTCGAGTGATGATTGCTTGCATGGCCGAGAGCGAGTTAGAAGTCGCCTTAGTTATACTAGTCATGAAATAAACATTTACTTTTCAAACACTTTACTTTGATTAAATTAGTTGTTATGTTTTAGTTGCCTGTGCATCCGGTTGAGAGATGACCGGATGTGGCGGTAACACCCATTTCCCTTATTAAGACTTCCGCTGTACTTTCTTTAAATTTTCATTATCAATAAATAAAAGTTTTATTTCAATTATATCAACGTTTTGGGTGGGAAATTTGGGGGTGTTACAGAGGCATCCCCCCAAAATGAAACGAAAAGCGTCAGCCTTCGGCCCACAACAGCAACGCAACTACTCTACTCCTTTTCACCACTTTACAAGTGCCTCAAGGAGTGGGGGACTGGAGGACCCCCTCGGGAAAATCATTAAATTACAAAATTAGTGAAATTCCAACAAACGACAAAGCAAGCCCTCAAGTCCCGACATGTGGGTAACTGAGGGACTGCCTTCGGCAGGGACATAAAAGCAACAACTCCTCACCAACTTCAGAGATCACGACAGGACAACATCAAAGGGCAAGCACAAATTACTCCTTTTCCCTTAAATACCTTTCGACAAAAGGAGTGAGGGACTCCTGATGGAGTATATGGCCCGGGAACACCCGGCCCACAGACTCCTACTACACCAATGAAGGCCCAACAGGCCCAGGAGGCCCAACAGGCCCAAATCACGGCGCCCAGAGTACCAAGCAGCCCACAATACGCACCAGGGGTGCCTTCGGCCCCCTGGACGAAGGCTCCAAACTATCACAACATGGATATTTCGAACAAACAGAGGGACTGGGAGAAAACGGCGAAAACAGTAGCCCTCGGCACTGTGAGCCCTCGGCACTCAGGGCCCCTCACCACTAAGAGCCCTCGGCTAGTCCTCTGCAGCCGAGGGCACCTCTCCCGACATGATATCCGCCTCACATGCGTGCAGATCACCGTACCCTGCACAGACGTCCCATCCAACAGCCGCATTAAATGCGGCCACATGCGGCTGCCAACGCCAACCAGTTGAGGTGACCCCTCGGCCAATAGGTGCTTGACACGTGTCCCTGCCCGGCATTTATTGCTACTATAAATAGCACCTCATTTCCTCATTTGTAACCACGCTGAAAACGCTCCACATTTATAATACACCCTCTCTCTACATTTACTTGCTCTGACTTCTCTCTAGGTTATTCCCCGCAATAACCCTTCGGATATATACCCCCGGGTAGACTATCCATCACATTTACTTGTACTTCTCTCTTTAGCTCTCACTTGTCTCTAGATATATACTCTATCAGGTATATCATTGCATTTTTTAAATGTACTATTTTACACTAGAATCACAGGAGTTGATTATAAATATAATTTAATACTCCCTCCGGTCCCAAATGAAATTCACACTTTCCTTTTTCGGTAGGTCCAAAATAAACTTCACATTTCTTCTCATTTCCTTATTTGGAAAATTATCTACATCAAAACAGTGCCAAACAGTGTCATAACACTGTACTCTACATTAAAGTCAAATTTATTTCCTTAACTTGTGTGAAGTCAAAGTGTGAATTTCATTTGGGACCGGAGGGAGTACGTTTTTATAAAAGAAAAAATAACAAAAAGAAAGTGAATTTGAAGTTATGAAGCAGAGATTACAATTCTGAATATTAGACTCCTAATACTCAACATAATAGCTTTGATGCTCGTTAAAAGTTCACTAATGCTCATTCACCAAAAACTCTAATTTTCATCTCAATAGCGGAGATTTGATGCTCAATTAAAATGTCGTGACGTTCAATCAACAAATCTTACGTTTTTCATATCAATGTGCAGTTTGTAGGTTATGTATACTCATTTGATAGTGATGTTATGCTCATTTCTAAAATGTCATATCAATGCATATTTCAAAAGTATCATATTACATTAGAGTCACATATTGAAATTAATATGAGTGGATTATAGATATAATTTAATAAGTTTTTATAAAAGAAAAAATAAGAACAAGAGAAAAAATTAGTAGATATGAAGCAGAGATCGTGATACTTATTGTTAGCCTGATAATACTCAATACAATAGGTCATATGCTCACTAAAAGTACATTGTTGCTCATTTAGCGGGAGCTATCGTTTTTCGCTTAAATTACAAAAATGCCAACAAAAAAAATTAGGTTGTTTTAATTAAATGGACTGTCTTTCTTAAGTGGGCCTTTTTTGTGGGCCTTATTAATTTTTTTTCTTACTTTTTCATACTTATAATGAGCATTACACCAATATCAAATGAGTATACATACTTAAGAAATGAGTATCTAAAAAATTCAGAAAGATCATTTCAAATCTCTAGTATTCTCAAATATTAAATGTGAATAAATAATGTGTGAAATGAGTATCAAAAAGTTCAAAATGAGCATTACACTAATAAGAACTTATTCCTTATTTTAGACCAACCAATTTTATTGGGCTTATTCTCCAAAATTATATCAATGCACAGTTAGTTTAAATAATATGCTCATCATTATTTAGTAGGTTGAAGCTTTTAAAATACGAGTGATAGAAGTATATGTTTTTACTGAATTCCCATTCGATATTAATTTTTGAAAGAACTATATGAAAAATATTCTTTTAAAAAATTACTTAAAAATAAAAAAGAAGTAGGAGTTCAAAAAGTCAAAACATAAAGTATATATAAAAAGGAAAATGAAAAAGGGAAGCAAAAAAGAAAAAGAAAAGTTGAAATTAGAAAAATTAAAGTTCAAAATCAAAAGAAAAAGAAAAAATCAAAATAAAAAGAAAGCCGAAAAGAGAATAAACAAAAGAAAATAAAGAATGGATAACATATGAATGATGTACGTAAATGCCAGGCAAAAAGAGAAAGCAATTCAGCATTCATAGGAGCTGAATATAAAGAATGGATAACATATCAATGATATAGGAGCTGCACATTCGGAGTATAATCAAATCCCAGACGAAGCATTCATCGCACATAAACACAAATTCTAATAATTTGAAATTAATTAATTAGGTCGCTCAGCATATATATATATATATATATATATATATATATATATATATATATATATATATATATATATATATATATATATATATATATATATATATATATATAATATATATATATATATATAATATGCTGCTGACCGGCTTAAATACATTACGCTCGAGTAATTATTACATACTCGCGCGGTAACATTAGTAGCAAGATGCAGCACATTTCTTGGTGCAGTCGAAGGAGCAGCCACCGCCGCCGCCTCCGCCGCCGTAACCCTTTCCCGCTCTGCTGTACGACTTGAAACAGCTGGCCGGACACGCGAGCTTCTTCCCTTTGCACGGCCCCTTTTTGTCGCAGACCACCGTCGGCCGTATCACCCCGCCTTTGGCGCTCCCGCCGCCTGGGCCTCCGAATCCGGATCCGTACCCTCCGCCGAGACCAGGAATCCCGAACCCAGATCCGGGCCCGAAGAACGCTCCGAGACCTCCGCCGCCGTCGCCAGAACGGGTTTGATCACTGGGGCGCTTCTTCTGAGCGTGGTCCGGGGCGTATCGGGTGGCAGAGGTGTGGATGAGGAACAGAGCAAGGATGAGTACTGCTTTGGAGCTCATCATCTTCAAAACTAAATGCTTTTTCTTTTGATTCTTTGGATTACAAATCTACTCAGAGTATATGGAGCGCATTTGCTCAGAGGGTATTAATTTAAAATCCTAGTCGCCCAAACATGGATTATACTTATATAGGCTCTTTTTCTAAAATGTTACCAAAATACTCTATAAAACTTGTGGATTAAATTGTGACTACAGTGAGTATAAAATATATTTTTATAATTCTTGTGACAAAAAGAAATTGCATATATTTATAATGAATAAAAATTATTAGGGAAAAGGTGCAAATAAGCTTTCGAACTAAAAGAAAATGTGTAAATCACCCCTTTTATAAGAGGCTCTGTCCAGCCGTTGGCATTTGGGAAGGTTCCCGGTGATTTTTTTTTAGCATTTTCTTCATTAAGTCTAGTTTACCCATACCAAATTTCAGCTAAAAAATCAACCGGGAAGGTAGTCAAATGATTTTCTGAAATATATTCTGTTGTTTAACTGCGCAGTTATCTTCAAACAAGTAATTGACTGCCTTCCCGATTGCATTTATAGCTGAAATTTGGTATGGGTAAACTAGACTTAATGAAAGAGATGCACAAAAAAACTCATCAAAAAATTCCACCGGTAATCGCCCCAAATGGCGACGGCCGGACAGACCCTCCTATAAAAGGGGTGATTTGCACTTTTTGGTTTGTTCGAGGGCTTATTTGCCTCTTTTTCCAAATTATTATTACACATTTTTGTCAACTACTCATGTTTCTGTCATATACACTCTCCGCCCCATTAAAATTGTCTCATTTTTTCTTTTCACTAAATTTGATAAAGTATGTATGACTTTAAATCATTTTTACTTTATCATTTTTATTTTATCAATATCAATCACATAAACTCAATGATGGATAATGTACCCGGGGGTAGCTTATCTGAGGAGTTATTGCGGAGAATAACCAGAGAGAAGTCGGAGCAAATAAGTAAGAGTGAGTGAGTATTCAATATGAATTCAGCGTGGTTTACAATGGGGGAAAGGGGTGCTATTTATAATATTAATAAATGTTAGAGAGGGACATGTGTCAACAATCTGGTGGCCGAGTGGTCACCTCAATCGGGGTGGCACCAGCACTCGCATGTGCACCGCATTAAATGCGGTAGGTGGATGTGACGTCGCATTAAATGCGGTGGTTGACTGTCTCTAAAAGGAATCTTCGTCGATAGTTCTGTGGCCGAAGGCATCATATGGCCGAAGGCATTGCGTGTCCGAAGGCATCATGTGGCAGAAGGCATTATGTGGCCGAAGGCATTGCGTGTCCGAAGGCATCATGTGGCAGAAGGGATTGTGTGACCGAAGGCATCATGTGACAGAAGGCATTGCGTGTCCGAAGGCATCATGTGGCCGAAGGCATTGTGTGGCCGAAGGCATTGTATGACCGAAGGCATTGTGTGGCCGAAGGCTCTTCACCTGTGATGTCTCTGGGCGGGTACTGGGCCGAAGGCTCTTCTAACCGGGGCTCCATTATGCCGAAGGTTGTATGTGTCGAAGGCTTTGTTTTAAGCCTTGTTCTCCTGTGATGTCTCTGAGCTCGATTTCGTCATTGGTAGCCTTCGGCCATGGGGCCGAAGGCCCCCCCTTTGCGTATTGTGGGATGCTTAGAGCTCCATTTTGCTGGACTTGGCCCGTTTAGGCCTGTTGGGCCTGATTGCAGTAGTGGAAGTATGTGGGCCGGGGTGTCCCAGACCATATACTCCATCACTCAATTCTCTTAATAACCGTGTCACTCCCTCATGTTTTAATATTAGTCGGACGGATGTAGTACTCTACATTAGGTTTTATGATGTACTACATATTTCATAAACATATAGTGGAGTACATTACTCATAGAGTTCACAGTGAAAAGTTTCACGGCGGCAATGACATTTGCTAGTAACATAAAAATTTGACAATCCTATAAAAATCAAATAATGATATAATATTTTTTTGGGAAAAGGGGTAAATAAGGCCTCGAATTAACAGAAAAAGTGCAAATCACCCATTTTATAAGAGGCTTTGTTCGGACGTCGCCATTTGAGGCGTTTCCTTGTAGAATTTTTTGATGAAATTTTTTGAGCATCTTCTTCATTAAATCTGGTTCCATACTAAATTTCAGCTAAAAATTCAATTTTGAAGGCAGTCAAATAAGTGTTTGAAGATATCTACGCAGTTAAAGAGCGCAGTATATTTCAGAAAATCACTTGACTGCCTTCCCGGTTGAATTTGTACCTGAAATTTGGTATGAATAAACTAGGTTTAATGAAGAAGATTCTAAAAAAATTCATCAAAAAATTTCACCGTTAACCGCCCCCAATGGTGATGGCCAGGCAGATCCTCCTATGAAAGGGGTGATTTGCGCTTTTTTGGTTAGTTCGAAGGCTTATTTGCACTTTTTCCCTTTTTTTTTAAATTATCACCTAACGGAAGGTCTCGGGTTCGAAACTCAATGAAGTGAGTTTCAGCCGTAATTACTACAAGCCCCCCAGACCCCCTCCCCCAGGTGTCCCCTGGAGTAAAAAAAAAGATGTATTAAAAACGATACAAATATGACCACTACCATTTAGAAATTCAAAAATTAACTAGTTTTCTTTTTTCAAAAATATGAGTAGCCTTTTATATAATTAATCGATTATTTTCTATTTTTAATTTATATCCAATCTATGTCCAAATCTCTCATTTACCCAACCAACGATGAAAACCACGTTGGAAATCGCCGTCGGTAAAGCTGTCAAAAATCACTGATTAATTTTTTTCATTTTTTCTGAAAATTTGATAGATAATTTTTTTTTGGAAATTTTTTGACAATAACATCATATTTTTTGAAAAAAGTGAGCTTCGATTTAATCCAATATTTAAAAAACCCTTCTTATATATAGGCCGGGGAGCATTTATTCTCTTGTTAATAAAAGAGGACTACTTTTTAACCAACTTAAAAATTAGTAAATTAAAAATAAGTCTGATTGAGATTAGCTAGATTAGTCTAGTCCAAGAGGAACAATAACATATAAGTCTTAATTCCAAAAGATTTTGACGTAAAAAGAAAAAGAAAGATGAAAGGCAAAACTATCAAATAAGCCCCTTTACTGTATCAAAAAAGTCGATTAGGCCCTCATACTTTACAAACACTCAATCAAGTCCTCGAACTATTAAAAAACGTTCAATTAAGCCCTTTTGGTGGGTAAGTAACCGATTTCCCGGTTAAACGATGACGATGGCGACGATGTGCTCGAACCCCAGCAACGACGGCTTCCGGGAAACAGGTTACATTTAACCGGGAAACCGGTTACTTACCGACCGAAAGGGCTTAATTGAACGTTTTTTAATAGTTCGAGGACTTAATTGAGTGTTTATAAAGTACGAGGGCCTAATCGATTTTTTCGGTATAGTACGATGGCTTATTTGATAGTTTTCCCAAGATGAAAAGATAAGCTATGATAAAAGATACTACCTCTGTCCCCCTAAGTTTGGGACAAAGGAGTGTGATGTGGTTTTTAAGAAAAAATAAAAATGTGTGATTGGTATTGAATTGATAAAGTGTGAATAAAGTAATAATGAATTTTAACCACTCAAATGTTACCAAATATAGAATCAAAAGGATAAATAGAATACACACACAGACACACACACACATAAGGATAAAAAGAAAAGGAAAGAAAAAGAAGATGAGGGAAAAGATGATAACAGACCACTTCACCACATGAATACTCGCCCACCACTTTGCTCTCTCCAAAGCCATACACCCACCCAATCCAAGAAGAAGCATATCACTATTGAATCCTCTAATCCACGTCTGCTTAGGTTGAGTCTTCCTCTTTCTCTCTTCCCTGCCTTTTCTCCACACATCTCAACTCGTCCGACAGGTGCATCACATGGTCTTCTATGCTCATGACCAAATTACCGCAAGTGAGACTCCCACATCCTATCTTCAATAGGCGTTACTCCCATGTTTTGTATGATTGTCTGATTCCTCACGCGATCCTTTCTAGTATGCTCCACAAAACTTGCACTCCTTGTTCTCTGTCTTGCTCCAACTCAGTCTAAAACCCTTTTGTGTTTGCCACTTCAAACTTTGCTTTAACATATGATTGGGTCTCATCGATTAATACAATATCATCGGCAAACATCCTGCACCACGGTATATCATCTTGAATTGACTTAGTAAGTTCATCCATAACTATGACAAATAAGAAAGGGCTCAGAGTCGATCCTTGATGGACTCTGATAGTGTTAGGGAACTTTGCAGTCCTCCCTACACTAGTATGGACACTTGTGGTACAATCCTTTTACATATCCATGACGATGCTGAAATACTTTTCGAAGTACCATATCATATGCTTATTCTAAGTTAACGAGCATCAAATGAAAATTCTTGTTAGTGTCTTTAAACTTCTCCACGAGTTGTCGAAGAAGATGAATGACCTCAGTTGTTGAGCGACTAGACATAAACCCGAATTGATTCTATGAAATCTTCACACTTCTTCAGAGTCTTTTCTCAATCACTCGCTCCCAAAGTTTCATGGTGATGGTCCCGGATAGGGTAAAAGTCTAGGGGGGGGGGGGGGGTGAATAGACTTTTAAATCTTTTTCAACTTTAAAGCGTTTTTCCCTCTAAAGAGTTAATCTATAATCTTTTGAGAGATTTATAGATGCACATCAGAAGTCTTTACCCTTTATGTAATAAGTGTATAACTACTTTCTAACTTCGAGAAGATTTGACTTAGATAGCTAGCAGTTGGCTTGACAGATAGTTTAGTAGTTGGCTAGGTAGCAGGGAACTGCTGAGGCAACTGCTAGAGAGATATTGACTTTATGATGAAAGGGATTATGGAATATTGTTTAGAATGATAAGGGCTGTCTGAAAAGGTTCTCTAGTAGGAGTAAAGCAAAGTTTTACTGGAGCAGTGGTTTCAGCAGTTGGGTGGTAATGAGGGAACTGCTGAGTCACTTGCTTAGGTTATAAGAAGATTTTCAGAGATCAGTTTAAGCAAAAATTCATATTGATGATGTTATGAGAGTCTGGTGATGTTGAGATGTTCTAGGGAAACAAGTGTGTATGAGCATAGGGGTCAGCAGTTGGGTGGTCACCAGGGAACTGCTGAGGCACCTGCTATACTTAGAAGATGAATTTCTGGAAACTTATAGATCAGACTTTTAGTGATATTGATGCACGCCTCTTGTGTGAAAATAGTCTCAAAGAAGGTAAGTAATTAAGCAGCAGGATAAGCAGTTGAGTCAGTTAAGGCAACTGCTTAGGATTCTGCTGGCAAACTTCAATCTTTTTGTGAGAAGTGCTAAGTGTGTGCTTTGTTGAATAAATGTAAATCAACACACAGTGTATCCTGGTTCAGAGGTGGTGTA